TAATTCACAAGTATCCTAATAGATAGTATGCAATCACTATATCGTCTTTTTCTATATGTCCATGGCTTATCTCATCTAAAATGATACGATCCCACAGTACAGAATGCAATATCGAACAATCATGTCTCTTTTCCTTCTTGCCAGATGTTTTGGGTGTGATCAAATACCTGTAATCAGCCTCGAGAGTCGTATATGTGTTAATAACAAAATCATAGTCAGCAAATTGATAAACTTTCTTTTTTCTGTCAGTTCCTTCATAGAGAAGCACCCTCGTGCTTCCTTCCGAAGTGCAACTATTGATCTTATCTACCCACTGTTTACAAATCGCCAAGGGACATATAACAAGAGTGCTGCTAATCATTGGACAAACTTTGGGCAATGTGGTTGAAGATTACTGTAATTCATGCCTACGAATCGCTCGTTTATTAAGAACAAGAGCTATTACCCGGACAATTTTTCCCATCCCCATTTCATCTGCAAGAATGCCTCCTCAATGAACACTTTCTTCTTGCTTTAGAGACCAGGCTAACCACTCTTTCTGGAACCTCAGTAGGGGAACTATCAAATCTGGTGAAGGCTCAATAATTTCGCTAATCCTATCATTATGATTATTCAAATCAAAATTTTTTTTCGAATTTTTTGCTATCCACTTATTTGCTAAAGATTCCATTCTTGCCACAGTAGTCTCTTCATTATTAAGAAATTTAGGGGGGAAAAAGAAGTAGGGGAAAAAACAAGTTGGGGACGGGAAAGATTTGAATAATCATAATGATAGGAATAGCGAAATTATTGAACCTTCACCAGATTTGATAGTTCCCGTACTGAGGTTCCAGAAAGAGTGGTTAGCTTGGTCTCTAAAGCAAGAAGAAAGTGTGCATTGAGGAGTCATTCTTGCAGATGAAATGGGGATGGGAAAAACTGTCTAGGCAATAGCTCTTGTTCTTAAGAAACGAGCGATTCGTAGGCATGAATTACAGTCATCTTCAACCACATTGCCCAAGGTTTGTCTAATGATTAACAGCACTCTTGTTATATGTCCCTTG